ACCATCTTTTGCTCAGCATTTTCGACAGAACCCCAACATACACCCGGATGCTCGACAAATCGCCTACTCAAATCATGTCCCACATACCCCCGACACTGGGACCAGTTGGGTTTCACAGGCAACGGCCCGCAGATCACGGACCCACGGGCAGGGGTGGTTGGCCCACGCTAAGGCCCGATGAAAACGGACAGAAAGGTAAGCATCTGCATACAGGAAACCTAGTGGGCTTTAAGAGGCCCAACTTGCCTGTGAACGAAGCGCGATGAAGAATTTTAACTGCCAGGAGAAAAGAGGGCCTCTCTCGAGCATCAGGTGTATATTTAGCTTCACGAATCATCCCGAAAGCATGCGCCGCAAGCGTTCAAAAAAAGCGTTCCCTAAGGGCCACAAGCACCTGGTGGTCGTCGTGGTGAGTCGTGGCGCTTCCCGTGCCGCGCAACAGCAAGCTTCCGCGGCAGAATAGCGAAGCAGAGAACGCTGCTGGCGACAGCAATGAATAGCGATCGCCGATTCCGGTGTTGCACCTGTTAGCCGCGTAGTTCCTATGAAATAGCTCCTGGTTGACAGTTACTTCGTCGACTCTCAATTGAATTTTCCATTGCAAAGCCACCACCAGAACCAGAAGAGGTTCCTCCATCGTAGCACAAGCTTCTCGCTTCCATATTACTATTAGATTATCCTCCCTCTGTCATGGCTGGCAGTGCAAGTCTCTACCCAATGTCAGAGCATTGGGGCGAGACCTGGAATGCAGCGCAATCGTCGGTCTTATCAAATCCTAAAAACGCCCTCACCGAGACAAATACACACATCGTCGCACCTGTTGCCGTCGCAGTCGCGGACGGCGGCGCATCCTCGAAAGACCCCCAACTCACCGACGGGAACCTGCGTCCTATTGATGTCGCTGCCGCGACGCGTCATGACGGCTTACCCTCGGCCGTCAATGACGGTGCACGCGGCGCCGGTTCGTTCGAGATAACAGACTCTGATATCGATATTATCGTGGCGCTCGATATGCGCTGGAACAACCTCGACGATTCTCAGCCAGACGGTGCTGTATACAGCGGTGCTGCTGTCGATTGCGACGGAAATGGCGGAAGTGGCGGAACTGCCAGCGGCGGCTGCCACGTCGGCGATCTGCGACGAAGCTCCAGCTCCGCGAGCAGTGTCGACAGTAGCGACGGCGGTGCCGGCGGCAGCGGCGGAAACATTTGCTTTGATATGACGAAAATTACAGGCACACGCAAAAGAAAGCTCCTAGCGGATTCGTGCGACCTGTTCCCGAGCTTTGTTCATCAAAATCCGTCAGCGGGATTCGAACCCGCGTCTGAAACGCAGTCTCCAGCCAAGCGGAAGCGGCGTGAATTTCTACCGTCGCTGGTCACCGATCGTGATGTGGATCTTTGGCTCGTGGACATTGTGAGTGTCTTGCGACGACAGAACGATACGGGTTATGCTACTTTCGCGCCTTCGTCAGCTTCTGCTTTTTCTCCTGAACATATTGATTTGAAAATAAGCCTTCAACATCCATCTTCACAAGGCATCATCTTCAACGATGCGGTTTTGCTGCCTGATTTCTCGGCGCGTGATTCTAGTGTAACAAGCCAGCTGTACGCTGATGGATGTAGTACGACGAAGAGGCTGGATGTGGAGCAATCTAAAGGTGAGGCGGATGATGGTGCATATGTGGCGCTATTGGAAGCGCAGATTGCGGCGATGGTGCCGGAAGTGCTAGAAGAGATGGATATGGCGATTATGTTGGATCTTGATGCATGTGACTACAGTACCACTAACCTCCACTTGTACCACTCATAGCTGTTTTGCAAACCATTACTTCCAAACCCGTAACTGTATCTAGCGAATCATGTGCGAATTTCTAATAACGAGGTAGTCGTCAGAGATTGGAGGGTTTTCATTCAACGTGACCTGCTTGCCTGTCATATTGGGACATCTGTCTGGCAGCTACGTCATTCGTGCTGTAATTGATTTTGCTCCGCTGGCTATTTGTAGGCATCAGTAACCAGAGGCAGGGTGTCGCTCAAGCTTCTTCGAAATACGTGTGCGAAGACAGATTCTTTCGCGGAACCAAAACCTTTGCGGTTGCGACATGTAACCCAATGGCAAAAACCTCTCTCGAGAAAGCCATCGCCAGTCGCGAGAGGATCACCTGCAGCTGTGTGTGTTGGTGCGCACTGAACATTCTTCATACAGTAGCAGGTTTCACATGTATCTTTTCAAATGCTCTGCTAGGTTTCGACATAGAATGTGGTAGTCAGCACGAGATTCTGCAGTATCTCTCAGCGGAAACGGGTCGTCAGGCCTGACGACCTGTGACGACCTGACGACCTGCTGTCCCGGGCAGAAAAAACCTAAAACCCTATCGGATGGCATGCCATCCGAGGGAGGCATCAACCCTAAATCAGAGGGAGGCATGGATTTAGGGTTGATGCCTCCCTGACCGGATGCATGCCTGACAGGGGTTTATTTTTTTTTGCCCGCGGGCAGCGAGCTCCACTGGGCGACGACCTGAACTCGCTGAGATATATTCGGCGATTTATTGACATTCGACAGGCCCACAGCGGTTCATTTGAGTATCCCGCCTTCGATCCGTCCGCTAGTAATTACTGCGTTTACTATGGCCTTAGACCTTTCTTGCCAGCCATTTAGCTTGCTCTCCCCACCGTCGGTACGCTCCCCTACGCCAGTACACAAACGCATCGCAAGAATCCTTCCTATCTACAAGAACCGCATCGCGTCTATCAATTTGACTACGCCACCGCGCTCCAGTCCTGAACGCCGTTTCGCGGTCTCCGCGTCGCATCAGTTCCAGATACCAGCGCGCCTCCGGAAAATCATTTCCACCTCCCCGTCTGCTTCAGAAGCTCAACCTTCAGATGCGCTAAGCCAAGAAGAGCTCCTTAAAGTCGACGCCGCTGCTTACTATGGAGACCTTAGTGATGTTTCCGGCGGTAGTATCGCCGGCGCGAATGGCGCTGAAGCGGAGCAGAAGCCAGACGATGCCGCCACGTGTCTTTACTTGATTCGCGTGAAGACAAGTCGAGAGCCTCTTTCCGGCATGTCGTTGCCAAGTGGCGGCGTCCTATTGGCTGTGATTGGAGAAGAGGGTGACACGATTTCGGTGCAAATCCAGCCACAGGATGACTTGGAATCTACGGTTCAGAAGAGCGTTGAGAAAGACGAGCGGACGGACGCTGCAGCCACTGGAGTGTTGCCAGTTGTCGCAACGGCATTCGCTGCAGGACAGACAGCGGAAATTTGTCTGACCGCGCCTAGCATTGGTCCGGTGGTGGCTGCTTGGCTGGCGCCTCAACGTGGCGCCACGTGGCGAGTTGACAGCGTGGCGGTTACTGTTGTCCCCCATAGTGCAGCGGAAAGAAAGGCAGCCTCAGCAGAAGCAGGAGCAGCAGATGTAGTGACAGCACCAGTTGATGCAGCAGTTGATGCCTCAGCAGTAGAATATACGCTCCATCCAGGACCTTACTCCTCCACTTTTCTTGGCGACCCTTCCGGTGGCGGTAACAGTGGTAACCCCGACACACCAACAGCGATTCAATTAAGAGTGGCTCAATCACAAATACTAGATCCCTTGTTTGCTCTGGCAGGACCCGAAACTCCTGCTACGGCTGCCAAATCTGCGGAGGAGGCTCGGAGAAAGAGGGAGGAAGGGTTGAGGGAGTATGAAGAACTGAAGAGGCTGATGCTGCTGGTTACCACAGGGTTGGTGGTTACTGGGACAGGAGCTGCTGGGTGGGTAGGAGGAGTGGACACTGCTGTGGCGTTTGCTGCAGGAGGGGCGGCGGCGTTTGTCTACTTGCTGAGATTGCAGAACCGTGTCGATGAGCTTCCATCGGCCGACTGGACTGACAATGCAAAACCACCTCATATAACAGCATTGGAGGCATCAGGTGAATCGAACACCATGCTTGACACTCCCGGCAGCGGAACGGCGGTGGAAGGAGGAAGCACGGATCCTGAGACTGTTAACCTGGTGCGGAGTATTGGAGTCCGGGCGGCGTTAGCCACTGTAGCCATTGGATCAGCTGTTGCCCTGTTGGGTGGTGTTGGTGGTGGAGAGGGCGATGGGGGCGCCTTGACGGGAGGGTTGCAGGCTCTGAAGATTGAGCCACGGCAGTTTGCTGCAGGTGTGTTAGGCTTCCTTTCTCACAAGCTTGCTCTCGTGCTGGTCGCATTGATGAGTGGGAGTGAGCATACGGATGATTAGTATACCGAGACTGATTGTCATCCCGTCATGTTCCCAGGCTGGGTAGATGCAAGGTGGTTGTACCGTATGTTGTATTGTATTTACTGCAATATCTTGTAGAGAACAATTGTGATATCCAGTGTATTTGTTTTTCTCGTATGAGCCCTCTGTTCTCTCCTCCAGCTTAGGCTTCATGTGAGCATCTTGATTGGTATATGCAGGTCCTTCAAGTTGTTTTCTTAGTTTATGATCTGTAGTGTAATCTCCCTAGACGTGTAGTGTGAAGTAATGGGCAACTTCTCGACGAATCGGGGACCTAGAAGCTCCAAAGCGCCGTCGATCTGACCGGTCACTCACGGATGATCGCCACGTCCGCAGAAAGGAAAGTTCTCGAGACGCGCAATGCGAGTTCCCGTGCCGCACTTCAGCCCAATGTCAAGAGATTGCGTTGCGAGGCCTATCTTTCAGGTTCCAGCAGCTTCTCGATTTGTGAAATGAAAGCCATCCCTTGCATTCCACAAAGTTCTGGCAGCTTCTCGAATCCCAGCTACTGGGCATTTTCACGTCCCTCAGTGGCTACATAAATGGACGGACTCGCTGTTTCGAATTCATCAGACTGCAATCAGCTTTCAACTCTCTGTCAACCATTACGCTCTCGCGCCTGTCCAGCCTCGACCTAAACTAGCTCTCTGACACTTAGTGACATTCACTCGGCAAAGGATTCTGTCCGCTCTTCGTTTTATTGATCACACTACCTGAGAACTAATTCCCCATATCTCAGCCATGGCGAAAGGAGAAGGCCCTGCCATTGGAATCGACCTCGGCACTACCTACAGCTGCGTGGGCGTGTGGCAGCACGATCGCGTTGAGATCATCGCCAACGACCAAGGCAACCGCACCACCCCGTCCTACGTGGCATTCACTGACACGGAGCGCTTGATTGGCGATGCGGCGAAGAATCAAGTGTCCATGAACCCTGTCAACGCCGTTTTCGGTACGTCACGTGCTGATTCATCCACCATTTCCGACACTCCGATTCCTCTACCCCTACTTCCTACTTCCGCACTGAATTATTGCATACCTTGAATGTGCCTGCCCTCGCTGTTCGTCGGTTCAACTGTTTCTCACTTCATTTTCTTCACTCGTTTTGCTTACAGATGCGAAGCGTCTCATCGGGCGGCGGTTCTCTGACGCGCCCGTGCAGAACGACATCAAGCTGTGGCCGTTCAAGGTGATCGCAGGCGCGGGCGAGAAGCCGATGATCCAAGTCGAGTACAAGGGCGAGACGAAGCAGTTCGCAGCGGAAGAAATCTCGTCCATGGTGCTAACGAAAATGAAGGAGATCGCAGAGGCTTACCTTGGAACTACCGTGAAAAACGCGGTGGTGACGGTTCCGGCGTATTTTAACGATTCTCAGCGCCAAGCGACGAAAGACGCGGGTGTGATCGCTGGGCTGAACGTGATGCGGATTATCAACGAGCCGACTGCAGCTGCTATCGCGTACGGGCTCGATAAGAAGAACAGCAGCTCATCGGAGAAGAACGTGCTTATCTTCGATCTCGGGGGGGGTACTTTCGACGTGTCGCTTCTCTCGATTGAGGACGGTATTTTCGAGGTGAAGGCGACGGCTGGAGACACGCATTTGGGTGGCGAAGATTTTGACAACCGCATGGTGAACCACTTCGTCCAGGAATTCAAGCGGAAGTACAAGAAGGACCTCAGTAACAACCAGCGGTCTCTTCGCCGCCTTCGCACGGCCTGCGAGCGCGCCAAGCGAACACTCTCCTCCACCGCGCAAACGACCATCGAGATCGACTCGCTGTACGAGGGAATCGACTTCTACACCACCATCACTCGCGCGCGCTTCGAGGAGCTGAACATGGATATGTTTCGAAAGTGCATGGATCCTGTGGAAAAATGCCTCAAGGACGCGAAAATGTCCAAGGCGCAGATCCACGACGTGGTGCTCGTCGGCGGCTCCACGCGCATTCCCAAGGTGCAGCAGCTGCTGCAGGAGTATTTCAACGGGAAGGAGCTCTGCAAGAGCATTAATCCTGACGAGGCTGTGGCGTACGGCGCGGCGGTTCAGGCGGCGATTCTGAGCGGCGAGGGGAACGAGAAGGTGCAGGACCTGCTGCTGCTCGACGTGACGCCGCTCTCGCTTGGATTGGAGACGGCTGGAGGGGTAATGACGGTGCTGATTCCGCGGAACACCACGATTCCGACGAAGAAGGAGCAGATTTTCTCGACTTTTTCGGATAATCAGCCGGGAGTGCTGATTCAGGTCTACGAAGGTGAACGCGCTCGGACCAAGGATAATAATCTACTCGGGAAATTCGAACTCTCGGGAATTCCGCCGGCGCCGCGTGGCGTGCCGCAGATCACCGTGACGTTCGACATTGACGCGAACGGTATTCTAAACGTGAGCGCGGAGGATAAGACTACGGGGCAGAAGAATAAGATTACCATTACGAACGATAAGGGCCGACTGAGCAAGGAGGAAATCGAGCGGATGGTGGAGGAAGCGGAGAAGTACAAGGACGACGACGAGCAGCACAAGAAACGGGTTGAGGCGAAAAACGCGCTCGAGAATTACTCGTACGGCATGCGTAACACCGTTCGCGACGACAACATCGGGGGGAAGCTGTCGCCTGAAGATAAGAAGGCGATCGAGAAGGCCGTAGATGAGACGATTGATTGGCTGAACAAGAACCAGCTCGCTGACGTGGACGAATTCGAGGACAAGCAAAAGGAGCTCGAAAGCATTTGTAACCCGATCATCGCGAAAATGTACCAGGCTGGAGGTGGACCAGTGCCAGGAGCAGGAGGTGTGGGGGATGTGCCTAGGAGAGGTGGTTTTCCTGGAGGAAGCGACGGGCCGAAGATTGAGGAGGTTGACTGAGGGATGAGTGAGGTGGGGTGGGGAGAGGAGTGGCCAAATCTGAACTTGATCGTATGCCTCCTTGGTGAATATATTTGTAAATTATGAACTATTGAGTCCTAGTAATATTTCATGTTTCAGAGGTGTACGTGTAACGTATACTTTTGCTCAAGACTTCAACAAGCATCTAGTCAACTACTGGCGTTTCTATTACTCCACAGAAGTGTCCCTGCACAAACAAAAATGATGGTAAGTCAGTGCTTAGGTGGGAAAGGTGCATAGGTTTTGTTCGTGTCTGAATTCAATCGCTCCCATGCTTCTCCACACTAACGAATGCCCACCTGCTCACCCCCTGTGTGGTGCTACTCACATTTGCGCAAATAGCCAAGGAAACTGGCTTGAGAGGGCTGCTTGTGGCCTGTTCCATTGCATTCCAAACCTGCATGTGCAATTCACAACCACAAGTATGAGGCAGTGAGACGTGCGGATGGAGTGTCTAATTTCACTGCGAGCTGAATCCATCTAATACAACAATGGGAGTGCTACTCACCCTGCAATAGCAAAAAGGACACTCCTCCTCTGTACCAAAAGGACATAGGGAGAGCTCATGATACAGCCTGCAAAATTGATGGGATAAGACAGCTCATGGGCGGATCATGGCACAAGGTTGCTTAATCAGGATTCGACCCTTGTTAGAAAAAGACAAGCATGGGAGGAAAATGGAGTGAGCGAGGTCCAAAAGAATGGGGCAGTAGTTCATACCCGGTGGGTGTGTGGCAGAAATGTGGGATGGCAAAAACGGAAAGGAGAAAAGTAGAAAGACAAGCAAGGCAGCGACAGAGGAGTGAGGGAGGTGCAAGGGAGCAACGGCGTGCTGACTAAGCACCTGGTGCGTGTGAAGTCAGAAATGTAACCCTGGCAGACCGAAACATCCCAAACATTGACCGAGGTCTTGAGCAGAGCAAACGACACTCCTGCCACCTTCTCAGCTTGAGAGGAGTCGTCAGCAGAGGGGAAACGGTCAACCTGCCTGTAACAGCCAGCTGGACTTCCAGAGGCATCACAAACACTCAACCGGTTTGGCATAAAGAGTTCTTTTACGTCTAGCCTAACAGAACGACGAGGGACTTCGTCTAGCTTGCCGATCAGCCCTAGATACTGCCAGTCTTGGTTATGAAAAGTCATTACTTCCTTTACCGCTGCCCGCCCTTCTGCCCGCAAAAACCATGCGTTACCATTAGCAGCCACCCCTGTAGCCAGATTTCGCTTGTGTGCAGGTTCCATCTTGCCATTCTCCAAGATTCCCTCATTACACTTAGCTGCTGCTTTTGCCGCTGCTGTTTCTGCTGCTGCTGCTGTTGTTTCTGCTGCAACTGCTGATTCTGCTGCTTCTGCTGCTGATACTGCTGCTGCTACAGCTGCTGTTTCCTCTGCTGCTGTGACCAGCTCTTGAATCGTATTTACACTACCTTGAGAATGTCTTGGAGTTGTGGGTCTCAGGTTCGCTCCAACTCCTACTGCTTCGAGCGCCCTTGCTTGACTTTGTGCTCGCCTGAAGGCTGCTGCCGCTGCTCTTGCTGCGACTGCTTCTGCTGTTGCTTCTGCTGCTGCTGCTTCTGCTGCTGCTACTGCCGCTGCTTCTCTTTCTGCTGCCTCTGCTGCTGCTGCTTCTCTGCTTTGCATGAACCTCTGAGCAGCGCGCCGCCCTCCCTTGACAACCTTATTAGCAGTACGAAAAGCAGTCCGACCCCCTTTCCATGCAGCATAGAAAGCACAGCGAGACCCCACGACCCCCAGGTACAGTGGGAGCACGAGAGCAAAGAGCGCTCCAGATGCAACAATTGTCACAGCTATGTAGCTCCCTCTTTTAGCCGCCTTAAAAGCACGTCCCGCCTTGGTAACTACACGCTTGCAAATACTTGACAACAGTGCACCTTGGGTTTCATCTCGGGTTTCATCTTCGGCGACATTGTCTGGCGGCAGAGGGAGCCGCGTACGGAACATGGGCCTAAGACACAGATTCATGATGTCTGGAGTGCGCAGGCTGAAGGGCACCTCGAGAATACCGGGAGCGTAACTGAGAAGACGGGGAGAAACCGCCTCAACGGGACCAACCAGTGTGTCACTGACCACAACACAGTTCAGCGGGTATTTCTTTCTACAGTAACCGCACAGATCAGAAAAGCAGCACCGGCGGTCCTCATCTGCATCATAGGATCGCTCCTCATGAGGGTTCTGAAATACTGGTTTGTGGTGTGCTTTTATGCGGTTGCGACAGTAGAGAGGCCAGAGGTGGGAAGTTGATATCTGGTGCAGGTGCTTGCACGTGAGGGCTAGGTTGGCGATGGTGATTCGAAGCTGCCAGCATGTCATACTCGCTATAGACACAAGGATTTCGGGACTCAGATCCAGCAATCCGGTTAGGCGGCCTTCGTTATCGACCGTTTTGTTCCCCATTCCTAAGGAAAACCGTTCACTTCACAAGTGCCACAGCAGCTAGAGAATTACTGATCTTGGTCTGAAATTAAGGACGGTATCACCCAAAATCGCACATGGATAAAAGACAGAGGAAAGTGGTAAACAGTCTCACTCCAATAGTTTACGGTCGCGTGTTACCGATCTTGGTCTGGGGTCAAGGACGGTCTCTCCCAGAAGCGCACATAGGAGGCTAAGAGATAGTTGAAGAAAGTAAAACTGCTCGGAACTACCAGACGTGTCGCACTCCTCCGTCCGTGTGCTAGACGCATACGCCTTTCATCGCATAAAGGGAAGAAGGCAATATTATGGCAAAGAGCTGGACTCGAATCTTATATTTTTACTTTCGAGATGTACCGCATGATTCATTCGGAGAGCAAGCGAAAGTAAAGCTCCCGGCACAATACTAAATCTATTCTTGAGCGCAACCGGGAATCGGGTAATAGAACTAAACTCAATAACATACTGCATACGACAGCTTGTGGACAGAGCGCGACTGGTAATACGTGAAGCATTCTTGCGGTAAACTGCTGAAACTGCTGAAACTGCTGAAACTTGCACAAGTAGTTGGGAAAGGTTGGTGTGGAATACCGAGACTCGGACGAGAATGAGGATCTGACAGCGAAGAAACCAGACAAACCCACAAAACCGATTTCGTAATGGCTGACATTGACACGGCATGCAAAGCGAAGAATTGACTCGGGAAGAAGCGCCGGGAAATACTCGCTGTAGGAACGAACTCGAAGCGATAGTTAAAAGCGTACAATGATTATAAACGTACGGTATGCATGTGCTCATTGTAATTCATCAAATCCAAATTTCTCTCCACATTCATAGAGCTATCCAGCCAGCCAGTTTAGTCCACCATACAGCATCTCCATCAAACTATCAACAGTCCAGATGCTTAAAGTTTGAAACAAAGCATCTAAGTTAAAGTGAGACAACCTTGTCGAGTAGGTAAATGAACGTCTAGTTATGGAACATTAATGTAGGGACACAAGTGTCACAATGCCCCTTTTCCCGAGTCACGTCGAAACAATTTGCCAAACTCGCGTCACAAATATTAAATGTATCGCGACAGTAGGCGACCAGGCGAAATGCACAGTTGTGCGCATTTAATTCGGTGACACTGTTGGAATTAAGGTTAATTCGGGTGGCTCCAATGAACATATGTAGTGGTAGATCTACACTATAGTAGTGTAGAATACATTGGTTGGGCTGGGAGAACTTGTGGTGTACACTCTTTAGGGTGGACCACCTCCCAACAGGGGTCTCGTTATCAGACCAATTTGGTCTGATGGTCTGCGTTTCAGTCTTAATTTTCTTATTTCAGATGATATGTAAGACTGTACTTTTGTTCTCAGATGATCAGTAACACATATGATTTTACTGCAGATACATTTTCAGATCGCATACTGTTGTTCATCTGAGACTCCAGATAATGAGTACGATTCCGTCTGAAACCGACATTTTTGCCTACTTGTCCATGGGGCCACTAGTTAGGGTATCTGCCAGCCTGTATACATGCATGCGTAATGAATGCTTTTGTCCCATAGCATCCACGCTGGAGGAAACAGCACCGCTGGCAGCAGCAGCTACTGTGGCAGCGGCAGAGGCAGCAGCACGAGAAGCAGCAGCAGTAGCAGAAGCAGCCAGGCTGGATGCAGAGTTCCCCTGGCTCAGTCGCAAGGGGAAAGCTAACTACCCTATTTCAATGCCGTCTGATAGCCTAGACAGCTGTAGTGATGATGATAGTGGCAGCGAGTCTGACTGAACCGTAGAATGGTGAAATGATACCTAGTTATCATTTTGTAGTTTGTAGAATTAATGTAGTGTAGTGTAGGCCACGTAGAATAGTTCATCTGTTTTTTCAGACTGGTATACATGTTTCATCTTGGAGGCCAGAAAAAAAAAGGCCAATCTGAACGTAAGACGATTTTTTTTTTTTTTTTACACATACTGTCAGACAGGCCAGAATCCTAGCGAGAGCCCTGCTCCCAAACCCTAAAGATTAGGGTTCTATCTAGTTGGAATTTCACTTCTTGGAAATCACTTTGGTTCTAGATTGGTTCATTCCCAAGTTGCCTCATAAGATTCCTAGGATTTAGGAGGAGGTTCTAAGACTACTATAGCTTCCGCTAGTAGCTTAGACCATTCTAACATGGTATCAGAGCTAGGAAGGCCTAGCACTTTGTTGGAATAGTGTCAAACATTATATATGTGTTATTGCTGTGTAGGCTATAGTGGGTTAGCCTTTAAGGGGTACACAACTCTAGGGTTTCATACTTGTACTCCAATGGTTCATAGTTCAATCACTTCTTGTTTCTGACATGGTATTAAGAGCTTAGGTTCTAGACCTAAGGGCCCACCGTTCCGCTAGAGGTGCCCTCGTGCGCCCCTTTTTTTTTAGCGCCCTCGTGCGCCTCTCCCCTAGTGCGCCCTCGTGCGCTCTCCTCTCACGCTGCCCGTGTGCAGCCCGCTAGCAGCCCGAGCGCGGCCCCGCCGTTTTAGCGCGCGTAGGAAAACCGCCGCCTAGGGCGGCCCGA